CGCGTCAAAGGTTCTGCATTTTTTTCTGCGCACGATTCCGCGGAGTCGCTGAGACAGGGGGCCCAAAAGGTCGGGGCCGAAAACGAGCTGAATAGTTACTTCCAGCTCTCGCGCCGACTTTCCTTCATCTGGCGGCGCAGATCGTTTGGCGTCAGCGATAGCAACGAGCCCACGGCCAGCGATTGTGCTGGTTGAAGCGGTGGGCGTGTGGCAGTCCCTGCAGATGCCGTCTGGGTCAGGGTCATGCAGCGCCATCTCGCGTGGGTGCGGATGGTGAGGCACCCATAGCCTTCCGTCAGGGTGCTTCCATTTCGAGCGATGGATGTGCTCAAAGCACAGTGGAACGAGGTCGATCAGCTCGTTCAAGTCGCCGATGCAGTCGGGAATATCGGAGTCGAGAACGTATACTCCATTCTCGGAGTGAGCTCGTCTGCTATGCTTACACGCTGTTGTCAGAGAGGAGTACTGCACAAGAATGTCCCGAATGCGAGGGTCTGTGCTCAGTTCGACGCCTCAATCCATGAGCTAAGCGGCGGAGCGAAGATTGAAGCGCAGGTTTTGGACTATGAGCACGTCATTCAGCGTGATGTGCGTGTGGCTCCCGCGTGCCTTGAGCATGACAATTCCTTGCGCGCCTGCGCGCAGGAGGGTATTGCACGCCATGGTGACCTAAGTGACTGTGGGGGTCGGGACGGCGTTGGAGACGAAACGCACGGAACCGACCAGTTGTTGCACGCAACAGCTGTCCAGGTACCAGGTGTTGTAGCGCTTGTTATCGTCACGTGCGAGCAGCGCCACTCGCGGCGTGCAATGTGAGGTGTGTCAAACTTTAAGAATTGCTCGCGCGAGAGCCAATCGATCGGTACCACGCGTGAGTCAGGTACGTGCGGGGGGCTCTCAAATAGTGGGACTGGAAGATTCCAGTCCTGGTCATCGTCGTAGCTAAAGTCGTGGCGCGTGGTTCATGGATCGTTATCTGTGAACACTCTGATTGGATGGCGTACTGGCTCGGGTGATCGCATACGCACACTGCGACTGCGAGATCCGCTTGTCATGGTCATGTTGCCGATAAGGTTGCGGGCGGGAGCAGGCTATGACGGTTGCTGCTGCTGCTGATGCTGATAACGTTGGGTTATGGCTGCACGATGGGGGTTGATACCCCTGGGCTTGACACATGTCACTTCGTTCGCTGCTGCCTTGGCAGCCGCCGACCGGTTCGCGAGTCGTGCCTAAATCCGATGGAGTGCCGCTCGCGTCTCGTCGACGTCGTGGCGAAAGGTTGCAACCTCGTGTACGAAGTTGTCGCCCTGACACTCCATGCCTGCTGACATCGCGTAAAAAAACCGAAATTCAGAGGGATCGAAAAAACACGGAACTGGTATTACGTACCCAGAATCGGTGCTTTTTTGTTCGTCGCCCCCGCGTTTTTTTAAGACTGGTTGCCAGAGGTCGTAAAAAATTTCGCGTGTAAACAAACTCTGATTACCATGTGTGAGGATCGATAGGATCGAGTTCAGAAATGGGCAAATGAATTGATTGATTTCCTGGGTACAACACGAGGCTAGATATAGTATCGAAACAAGGCCTAGTAATTAGGTGTTACGCGAAGGTTTTACGGGTCGCGAAGCGTCCTGAATCAAGCCTTTCCGAAATTTGATAGAAGCTATTCGGTGGAAACCGAATAGTCGTATTCGGTGCACGCAATCCTAGTTCGATGCTATAACTATAATAAAATATATGAAAGCACTTAACCTAGGAAATCAAGCAAAGACAGGCATGATTAAATAAACATACGCTAGATAAAGTGTAATAAAGTAGAGGCAAGTAAGCAAAGAAAGCATAAGTTTTCGTACTCTCACACTCTCCTCCCCCACACCAGCTCCAGGCACCTCCTGGTTGGGCCCTCCTGCTGCGAACCGCCTGCTCCACACCTTCAGCCCTGCCAGCACACGCCACCTCATCACTCCCTGTGCGTGGGCCACGCGCGCCTGCGTCCTCACTTTCCCCTCCCCTCCCTGGACCTCCTCCCATTCCATCGCTCTTCCACGTCTCAAAATTCCCCCCCATAAAGAACTGTGAAAAAAGACTATTTTAACATACCTCACAGTATGCCACTCGGAGCATAGTTGTGATCTTAAGTGGATAAGTGCTGGGGAATTGTTGCTGCATACGTCGCGCACTCTTTTTGGAAACCCTCAATAGGCACGAAACATTCCTATTTATACTAGGCAATCCACTACAAAAGGTAGCTTCTTTTTTCCTACTTTGTTTGGTAACTCTTGTGCCCACGGTAACGATGTATCAGATCTAAACGCGTTATGGTTTGAAGACGATTTTTACCTCATATATGTGACAAATTCGAATAATCGATAAAATCATGTCTGCCCAATATAGGCAGCATTCCAATATTGTGTTTTCATCGTTCCTGCCTTGCTATAACAAAACTGGTTACACATGTATCAAATCTCAGATGTTTAGGGCCTAACACTACAGAGAGTATTTCGAAATGAAGCATCCCTAAACAGAGGATACGGGCTCACCAATAAAAGCCCTCAATCAGCATGCTTGGTGGATGGCAGCTGAAGTTAACTACAGCCTTACGACTAATCGCGCCAACGCTACAGAAATGCCATGCCTACTCCTTTATAGCGCATGTATAACGCGTATAAATCA